AGAGAGAGAGAGAGAGAGAGAGAGAGAGAGAGAGAGAGAGAGAGAGAGAGAGAGAGAGAGAGAGAGAGAGAGAGAGAGGGGCAGGCTGTCACACGACGAGTGTAGGTTTATACTGTAGTTCCAGGGGAAAGGAAGATGCCCTTCTCTCCTGATGGCATAAGTCCAATCCTTCTACCCTCTTCCATGCGGGCATAATGCTATGGATAGCATCTTTCAGGTGTAACCTGCTCCTTCTGGTGGATGGTGAATTGGTGTGGATACTGCTCGGTACCGTAGAATGCAACGGTACCGATGAGGCTGCGTCTGGTCTATTTTTTTTCTTTTTTCTTTTTGTCTCGACTCATTTGACATCTATAAAGTGATAAGCTCTCGAGAAAAAAAAGAAAATTCATCCAGTAAATCTACAACCGAACTAAAACGACATGAACTCCGCCGGCTCGACGAGAAGCAGCCTTCCGCTTCCCAACACCTCGTCGCCGATTCTGAGCACGTCGTCGAGACTGCCATGCATGCTCCTCGCGTGTACAATGTGCATATGCAAGTAGCACTTCCAGCGGCGAAGGCTCGACTCCAGGTTTGACAAACAGTCCACTCATCTATTTATAGTAATTTTATACTTACCGATTAACCCACCGGGGTCTCTACCGATTAACCCACCGGGGTCTCTACCAATTAACCCACCAGGGTCTCCAAGCCTACTGTGCAGAAGCTGTCTTATTTGCCGAACCTGGAGCCGATCCTTGGAAGCTGGAACGACCAGGCTGACAACAGACGTCAGCGGGATGCAGAAGACTAGCGTCGTCACCCGAATAGAATCCCCGGTCATTATCACTGTATCTAGACCGAAAGTTGCACCCAATACAGCTATAATGACCGGGGGTTCTATTCCGGTGAAGACGGTACTAGGCAGATTGCGATCCCACGGTGGTGGTCGGAGCCTCGGAGGCAATTAATTTTTCATTTCACTGTATCTAGACCGAAAGTTGCACCAAATATACAGCTATAGTGACCAGGCTGTGACAGGCCACTGCCAGACTGCTACACGGCCACGAGCTGTCACAGAGAGTGGAGTGGCCGCTTAATGCTGATGGCTCAACGACTTTTGTGAACAACCAAATGCATGCAAACGCACTCGATGACCCTTGGGCGACGGCAAGACCAAATGCATGCAAACGCACTCGATGACCCTTGGGCGATGGCGCAGACCAAATGCATGCAAACGCACTCGATGACCGTTGGGTGACGGCACATGCAGTTAGTCGGTGCAATGCATGGCTGCTGCATGCACGGGTAACCCCACTTGTAGTCGTACTTTCCTCCGTAGATATTCCCTCTTCTCACCAGCATCTTCTTCCTCGCACCTTGTCGTCTTCCTCTCTTCTCGATAGCCAGTGCAGTGGGTCCATAGCCATGATATTGACGACGCCTTCTGTTAACAGATAGTTTTAGAATCATTAGGTACATTCTGCCTCTTTCCTCCATAGCTGGTACATCAGCCAGCATTCTTCCTTTTTCTGCTTACTCTTTCCTCTTTTCTCCATAGCCGCCGCATCACATCCTCTGCCTTTCTGTGCTGCAACTCCCGTCTTCCATTCTCGCCAGAATCGGCTGTGGCCCTTTTCTTTCTACAATATACTACATACTACATCCTACACACTACATAGTACATACATAATTCATACACAATAAATACATTGTAAATACATAATGCATGCATAGTCCATAAACAGCAGATAGGTTCTTTCTCACATCTCAGCACACGCTTATTTCTTTGTGTTCCTTGCTCTTTCTTCCTCCATAGCTGTCATATACATGGCCACGCTCGTTGTCTTCTTTTCGTATGTGAAACATTTTTCCTTGCAGACAACCGCCTCAGCACACATCCAATTGCGCCGTGCTCTGCGTCAGCGCAGCCTCTTGCTTCATGTCCCTGACCCTTTCCTCCAGTACTGGCACCAGTCAGACTCGCTAGTCCTGCTCCACATATGCTCTTTCTCGCACCTTACCGCGACCTCTTGCCTTCTGGATGTCGATCTTTCGTCCATAGCCAACATAGCCAGCGCATTCGCTGGCTCGCCTTGTACTTCCGTGCCAACCCAGCACATGATCTGGCTGCTCGCTTCACTGGGCCCGCCGGAACCCTGGGCCCCGAACGATTGGCACTACATCGGTTTCATCTTCCCCCCCGAACGCTGGGCCCGCCGGAACCCTGGGCCCCGAACGATTGGCACTTACATCAGTTTCATCTCCCCCCCGAATGCTGGGCCCGCCAGGAACTCTGGGCCCCGAACGATTGGCACTATAACGCTGCCAGATAACTTCCAGTGAGTGATATGAACGCTTGCCGACTCAGTTAAGTCAGTAGCCTTTAGAGTGCGCCGGTTCCAGCGAGAGCTATCAGGCTCTCTCTGACAACTGGCACTGCACAGAGTACTGAGCTGCAGATGCCTGTCAGAGCATAGGCGATAGCGCAGAAAGGAAGAGCCTCGGGCTCTTTTCCGGAAAGTGCAGCCGTCCCGAGACCGTGCGCGCTGCAAGAATGCGACAAAGAGAGAAACAGGTAAACAGCAAAACGACTCGTAAGCAAAGTCGATCAAAAAAAAAAAAAAAAAAAAAAAAAAAAAAAAAAAGCGATCGATCAGCAAACAAAGGGCCTCCTCGCCACACCACTGTCGAAACGAAAAAAGAACGAATGCATCTTCCCCACCAATAAGAATTATGATCCCGATGGACCACACATATATACGTGCATTTTACAACGCAAAGACCCGTGGCATTTTCAACTACTGCTCCTTTGCGGCTCCCCTGGCGGGCCTGAGTCCTATTATACACTTATTGATTGTGGTCTTCATGTGGTCTTACGTTATCAACTAAATACAAACTACTTAGGTCTTTGAGAAAAACAGTGTATCGGTTGGGCAAGGATCTCATGAATGGAGAAGTGGTGGAACGTGCAGAAACACATATTGGTTTACTTCATAGAGGTACGGAAAAACTAATTGAATATAAAACCTATCTACAAGCTTTGCCTTATTTTGATCGATTAGATTATGTTTCTATGATGGCACAGGAACATGCTTATTCTTTAGCTGTAGAAAAACTTTGTAATTGTGAAGTACCATTACGAGCTCAATATATATGAGTGTTATTTTGTGAGATTACCCGGATCTTAAATCATCTACTTGCATTAACCATCCAATCTTTTCTCCATTAATAATAACAAACTCTTTTGTTTGTCTAAATAAGTATACGTTTTTTTTGCTACTTTTTTATCAGGCAGATTACCATATAGGAAAACACTGTCTCTTTCCTGACCGAACGCGTCTAGTTCCTAATCCTACCCGCACCTCACGTGAGCCACAACCATGTTTTCGATATATGCACTTTCCTCAAAGTGAAACTAACTTTAGGGAGTGCCCAGAAACAGGTACAGCGTTCTACAAACCTAGCAAATCGATCGATCGTTGTGCCTCCAATTTCATTAAAATATATTAAATCCGGGCCTGCCAGACGCGCACGGGCCCAGCCGCCCGGCCAGGCAGCCGGGCCAGCGCGACTTGGACCCTCTTGCCCGGGTCACCCGGGCGAGTAAAAAAAGTACTGAGAACTTTTTTTCTTTTTTTTTCTGATCATGGGGCATTTTTGCACCCTCCGAGAGGGACCCAAATCCGGTCTTGTTTTCTTTTTTGCGCCCTCCGAGAGGGACGATGGGGCATTTTTGCGCCCTCCAGAGGCCTGTTTATTTAAATAAACTCTGCCCCCCATTTCTATTCTATTTCAATTAACGCACACCATACATAAGAGAAGAAAGATGGTGTTCGCCAGCGGGTAAAGTTTACCAAGAAAGGGCGTAATTGCAAAGTAGCAGAAGGGGAAAAAAAAGGGGGGGGAACTAAGCAGGAGTCACAAAAATGAGTTATAATTGCACTGTGGGCCAAGATCCAGTTTCGAATTGCAGTTCTGGCAATGTGCACAACCCAGCTTTCTGGCCAGGTGTAGGGTGCCCGAAGTGCAATTGCAAACTGTATCTTGCCCCATAGTGCAATTATAACTCGTCTTTGTGACTCCCGCGTAGTTACCACCAAACAAAACTGATGCAATTTTATTTATTTATTTATTTATATTTTTATTTATTTTTATTTATTTTTTTCCCGACTGAATCGGACTCGTGCAATTTGTCCAATAGTTACATAGGGTGCTTCCACAGGTTGACATCCACCTTGAACCACTCAGTACTTCCGAGGCGATTTTCTCCGGGGTTGGAAACACTCTGCGCGCCAGAAAAAGAAGAATTGGCGTGGGCCTCTTTTTGGCTGGTGTCGCCAGCCATTTTGCCCCTGCACTGGTGGTTTAAACCCCAGTTGCAGTTTGGCACCAACCACTGTCCCACAACTGATACCCTGAGGTTGGCCCCAAAAACTGCCTACATATATATAGTCACAGAGTCGATGCATCCACAGGCACAGAGAGAGAGAGAGAGAGAGAGAGAGAGAGAGAGAGAGAGAGAGAGAGAGAGAGAGAGAGAGAGAGAGAGAGAGAGAGANAGAGAGAGAGAGAGAGAGAGAGAGAGAGAGAGAGAGAGAGAGAGAGAGAGATCACCTGCAAGCAGTGGCCATGCCTCGAGAGATGGGATCACGGAAGCCAAATCGGTCCATGCATGTCTGAGTGAAGTTTGCACCAATGAGACCCGTGAGGACCACCGCAGCAGCCGTCAACGACGCGTTCGAACCTGATTACAGCCGAAGGAAAGGAACGATGTTAAAAAACAGAAGCCGTGGCAACACGTACAAAAGCAGAGCAAGCAAAATTGCCAAACAAAGACTTGAAGTCTTGAAGTTTTTTTTTTTTTTTTTTCGAAAACTGCATGCACCCAGGGTCTTTCCTGCCTATCGGCGTGATAAGAGCATCCCCCTTAAACCACCAGTACATCCGAAAAAGAAGATTAAGCCTCTCCTTAAAAAAATTTGGAGGACATGGACCGTCGATAAAATGAATCGGCGGTTCATGGCCTCCTATTTTTCAGGAGAGGCTCAACCTCCTTTGTCGGATACACTGGTGGTTTAGGGCCTCGCCACACTACTCCCCACTCGGAGAAAAAAAAAGGCCATTTTCAGGAGTGCGTCTTCGCCACACCAACGCCCGACTTCGAGATGTCAGAATGCATTCGGGAGCAGTCAGAAATTTGCATTCGAGAGCACTCCAGAAACAGCTGGGGACTCCTGCCTGCAAATGGCCATTTTCTGGAGACCTCGCACGGAGGCCCGTGTTTCGACAGGAGAACTCGTGAGCTGATCGGCGGCGGACAAGCAGTCTCCACACTTCTCGTCGCCACAATGCTGGACAGTGCTGGACAGTGCTCTCGAAAGTGCGCCTCCTGGCCTCCAAATCAGAGAGCGCTCCAAGTCGAGAGTGCCATCACGTCTTCTGCCATTCGGGAGTACTCCCCCCAAACCATTCCAAGTCGGGAGTGGTGTGGCGACGACGCTCTTAAGCAGATCCCGCTACTGACGGCTCCATCCATTGGTGTGTCATTTGGTGCAAAGCAACACCTGCTGGAAAACATCGGCTCCAGCCTCCCTCTTGATACAACAACTCGATACTTTTGCAAACAAATGTGCCCAGACTGTGCCCCAGACTGGCAGTGCCTCCTATGTGAACTCTCCCAAGTGCTGTTGGCTGTTCCTTAGAACGGCGTCAAAACTAATTGGTCCTGCTTTCTTGAAGATCTGTTTCTGTATCTGACCTTCATTAACGGATCTGTACCTTAATAAAATGTTTGTAACGTCAAAGCGTTTCGACTCTTTCGAGTAAACTGTTCCAGCTACCATCTACTACTTGGAAGATGTGATGGGTGTCGGGACTCGGGAGGCATGCAAAAGATCGAGCAGGTTGGAGAAGAAAAGCACATGGACAAATGGAGAGCAGCATGGATTGCCCTCTGACGACTACCCCGCTAGAGCAGGATGCGGCCTTGCCTTGCCAATCCTTTCACCAACTACCCTGCTAAAGCAGGGTACGGTCTCGCATCCCCAACCCTTTCACCAACCCTCTCTGATACAAGGGACTCAACCCCGCGCCAGCCACACGGCTGGATCCCTTCGATTCCCATGTCACTTTAGCTATTCTCAGCTCAATAAAGACGTGTTCCCCGAACCCCCTCCTACCCAGGGATACTATGATTTACTATCAGACAGGCGGAAGTCAGTACAGCTCCCGATTCCCCCCTCCCCAAGCCACATCCTAGGCTTCTCTATGACGTTGAAATATATCAATCATATGCGACCCCACACTCAGTAGGGGGATGTGATCGGCTTCCTCCATCGCCACCCGGGAAACCCAATCGGCGAATCGGGAAGCATCTCTCTCTCCATTATTATATTATATATATATATATTAAGCAACCATCCATTCATCTTTATCGTTTAAGCCGGTATGATAGTTCGATGAATTATCGTCACCCGTTCCATCGGAAAGGGCAAAAGGCTTAAAGAGTGTCATGAAGGAATGAGGGAGCTGGTATGATAGTTCTATGAATTATCCTCAACTGGAGTAACGGTGCACACACACACACACACACACACACACACACACACACACACACACACACACACACACACACACACAGAGAGAGAGAGAGAGAGAGAGAGAGA